GAATGACCCCCTTAAACCTTAGAGGCCTATGGACCAGAACGCTCACCTGGGTACCTTTTTGTTCTTTATCAGCAGACTCTTCTTCCTATATATCCCCATGTAAAACTATGATCGCCATTGTAGCCCTACTCTACTCACCTCCTCCGTAGGCTGGGGGGCCTCATGACTTGAACAAACTTGAAACTACACTACCTGAGGATGCTTCCAGGTAAAAATGATTAATAAAGGCTTTTCTGTTATTGAAAAAGGATTTTATAGATTTTTCGTATGTATTGTTATTGCTCATTGTGGCCCCACCCTACCACCGGGGTCATGATTTGAATAAACTTTAATCTGCACTACCTGAGGATGCTTCCATATTAAAATGATTTATCATGGCTTTGCTCTTCTAGAAAAGAAAATTTCAAAAAGTTTTCCTATGTTTCTTACATAATACTCTATTTGCCCATTATGGCCCCACCCTAGCCCAAGGAGACATGATTTGATCAAACTTAAATCCAGACTACCTGAGGTTGCTTCCATATAAATATGCCTGATCATGGTTTTGCTGTCATGTGGAAGATTTTTAAAGACTTACTAGGTGAGCTACTAAGAGGTCCATCGGCCACAAAGCTCACCTTAGAAACTTTAGCCGTTATATTCTTCACACCCTTCGGTAGCACAGTCGGTAGAGCAAGCGCTCCGTAATAGGAAGGCCATGGGATCAAATCCCGGCTGAGACTGACCTAACTCGGAAAAAAAAAAGGGGGAGCAGATGTCCTTCGCCAAGCGCTCGGCACTTTGAAATGAAAGTTGCAAAACTTAAAAACCGAAACCCCGTGTCACAACAGGCGTTGACATGATAAAAATCCCTCACTGCGCAATAAACCTGAGTGCCGAGTAAAGGTCTAATTTTTGAAATGTTTGCAAATTAATGTTCTATTTATGAACACATTTTAGAACAAAAAAATCTTATATTGTCCCACGTAAAAATTTGATCCCCCTATTGTGGCCTCTCCAAAGCCCCGAGGCCATGATTTGTATACTACCACAGGAAGAGGAAGATGTTTCCTACATATTTCAAAGTTAAGCTCTGATCCTCTATTGTGGACCAAACCAACCCCATGGGCCATGATTTGATCGATTTAGATTATACACTAAGGAAACTTTCACACGAATTTCATCTTTTCTAGTCTAGTAGTTCTTTAATTTAAAAAAAAATCTTATAAATTTCAAATGTAAAGCTTTCATCTCCTCCTGTGGCCTCACTTACCCCGGGGGATCATGATGATTTTAACAATTAAGAATTTACACTACCAAAAAATGAAATCACTTATGTTTCACTTTTTTCTAACCTAATGGTTCTTGAGGACAAGATGTTTTTAATTATCTCGCCATATTTGTGTCTAATCTCTATTCTCTTACCACGAAAGCGCCATTAACCCTTTATTTGAACAATTCATTTTCCCTTCTCCGAAAAATGCTTTGTGCCAACTTTGGATAAAATTGGCCTGGTGTTTCCTGAGAAGAAATCACAAGTGTGAAGAAATTACAGATGTACAGACACCGGACAACAGATGATCAGAATTCAATTGAGCTTTAAGCTCATGTGAGCTTAAAACAGCATTCATTTCATCCTTTCGATAACCCTGGGTTATGTCGGCACGAATAAGCTAGTTCCTCATTTGTTATCGTCCACTACCCCAACCTTCAAAATCTCTCTGCAGAAACTTGGTGCTGAAAGTTTATTTAATGTATGGAAGTGTAGCCTTACATTAACCCCAAAGCGAAATTCTGGATCCGCCCCTGCTACATGTAGTATATCTGTCATACTCTTACAAATCTTTCAATCTTTATATTAATATACACTCGTTGGACTAAAAGAGAAGAAAGTCATGACAAACTCAGTTATAAAAATTAACGGTTGCTGTTTTTGTGGCAGAAGAAAATTTCAGGAATCCAAGAGTACTTCACCGTAATAACTGACAGCTTAAAGGTAAATGTACTTAATGGTTTTAATGTTTACAACTAAAATGTCAAAATGATGAAGTTGTAAAACTAGGTGAATTATTTATTTAATCATGGTTCTGAAGATCTATGATGTATATTGGGGAGAATGTTTTTGAAAATATTTTACTTTATGCCAGGTGTAACGATATACGATCAACGAATATCAATTATGTTGGTTGTCTTCAACATTGATCTGAGCAATATGTATAAGGAACAGTATTCAATCTCGAAAGTCCAATGAAACGATACAAATTTGGAGCAGAGCAAACACGGACATCAAAATTTAGAGGTGGACTCAGGTGCCATGGAGGAGTGAGCATCCCCTGCCGACCGGTCACACCCACCGTGTGCTCCTTTTCATGATCGGGGGAAAAAACTGGAAAATCCGTAGACATTTAAGTGTACAAGTAATGGCCTAACAATAAGTATGAAAAACATTAGTCATCATTTGACTTAATGATAGGTTGTATGTGCTGGCAAGGTCATTGTATCGACCATAAAACTTGCATACCAGCTGCATTATTTTTCAATCATTTTTCCCCGGAAAGAGAGCATTTTACAGAGGCAAATTACCATTCCTATGTTATCTAATTAATATCAACCACTTGGACTGAAGGCCAACTCATGTTTGCTCTGCATGAATACATTTCTTCTTTCACAAATAATCTAAGCGTACAAAAGCAACAATTTTATTCCAAGCGTTCCAAAATTATCCAATCACAATTATGGTGGGGTTTGTAGCTGTAAAAAAAATAAAATTCAGGAATAATAATTAGACCGTCCGTTCTTCAGTTAAGAAATAATGCAAATTAAAAAAAAAGAAAATACCGCTATATAATGTTCAGAAAAAGGTAATTCATCATAATTAGCTCCAAAGAACCACACATTCAGGTTTTTCAATAGGCTGATATGATCTGCATATAATTCTGGTCTATATATTAGCTTTAATTAGATGGCTAATTTGGATTTCATAAGTAGATATAAGAAAGCAGCGTAGAGTAAATTTACGGAAGTAAAAAAAATGATTATGGGAGAACAATTCCTAGAGGTCACAGACCAAGAAGTATGCTGTCATTCGAATTTTATATGAAAGTGAGAAAACTTTTTTAATTCATATTTTTTTACTCCTACGAGACTCCATCACAATAGAAAAAATGCCTGCCTAAACTGTTGCACTTGCATGGTAGAGACTTTAGCCATTATCAATACATTTATACTTACGTAATGGATTATATCAGTCTTATTTTTATAAATGACTGAACAAAAACTTACATGGTTCTTCAGTAGTTGTTGAAGTGAGAGGAGCGTTTGTGGTCGGAATCGGGGGCTGTGTAACAGGGAACAAGGTACTAGGTACCGTTGTAGGGACTTCTGGTGATGCCGCAGCTGTGATGTGTGCAAATTTTACACGTCATGTGCATCAAAAGTTTTTATGTGAACTTTGCAAATATGCGCATTTAAAATCATACGCAAAACTTTATCACCAGTACATGTAGCAATATTTTCCATTTATATCTTGCATTTTACTGCATACACTTTACTTATGATTGGCATAAGACTGATTATATTGACATTTGGCAAATATTTAGTAACGTTTTCCGGTTAGATTGGAAGTACCAAATGAACATATTTACATAACAAGAGGCCCAAGGGCCTTAACGGTCACCTGAGTATAATACAACAATTTAGAAGTTAAATACACTGATAGATGAAGCATTGTTGCCCTAGCCCCCCCCCCCCTCCTCAAGAACCCCAAAAACTGAGGCCATATATTTAAAAATTTTGGAAGAGGCACTCTTGCTCATCATAATCATGCACTTAGTTTGTTTAAATAATCTCCAGTAGCAGAGAAGAAGTTTTTCAAAGAATCAATGCATTTTCACTATATAATCAATAGAGCCCCGCCCTAACACCAGAACCCCTGACCCTGGGGCCATGAAATTCACAATTTTTGAAAAGGCATCCCTATGCGTTTAAATAGTCTCCAGTAGCAGAGAAGAAGATTTTCAAAGAATCAATGCATTTTCACTATATAATCAATACAGCCCCACCCTAACACCAGAACCCCTGACCCTGGGGCCATGAAATTCACAATTTTTGAAAAGGCATCCTTATGCATCATAACCATGCACTTAGTTTGTTTAAATAATACCCAGGAGCAGAGAAGAAGATTTTCAAAAAATTAAAGCATTTTCACTATATAATCAATAGAGCCCCGCCCTAACACCAGAACCCCTGACCCAGGGGCCATGGCTTTCACAATTCTGGAAGAGGCCCACCTCCTCATCATAACTATGTACTTAGTTCCTTTATTAAATACCCAGGAGCAAAGAAGAAGACATTCAAAGAATTAATGCTTTTTCACTATATAATTTATACAGCCCCGCCCTAACACCAGAACCCCTGACCCTGGGGCCATGAATTTCACAATTTTGGAAGAGGCACTCTTGCTCATCATAACTATGTACTTAGTTCCTTTATTTAATACCCAGGAGCAGAGAAGAAGATTTTTCAATTTATTACAATGATGCCAACAGTTTGACTGCTTCATGTCCGGGAGTAAAGAAGAAGATTTTTAAAGATTGCATTATTTTTGGTGGTTTTAGCCCCACCCCCTAGGCCCCGGGGGGGAGGGGGGCAGGGACCATGAAATTCACAATTTTTGTTCCCCTTCACCCATAGATGCTATATACCAAATTTGGTTGAAATTGGTTGAGCGGTTCTAGAGAAGAAGTTAAAAATGTTCAAAAGTTAACGCACGACGACGGACAAAAACAGATAGCAATAGGTCACCTGAGTGACTCAGGTGACCTAAAAATAAAATATATATTAAACATATAAATAAAAATCACTTACGTAGGGTTGCAGGTGTACTTGTAGCTATAATAATTATTTATTTTTGCAGTTAAGATTGACAAAACAAAATTATAATAATAAGCCATATTTTAGAAAAAAAAGTGATGAAGATTAAGCTGTAAACTATGATGTATCTTTGAATTAAGCAGAAATATTTAATACGCAGTATTAAAACATGTTAAGAAGTTCACAGGCTTACGTGTACAAAAAGCACAGAAGACCCTGCAGTTAGCCTGAGCCCAAGTCTGGTTTTGGAAACATACGACTGGTCCTCTGTCTTCACAGTCGGGATCGACATTCACACAAGGTGGTTCTGTGGTGGGCGCCGGTGTAGTGGTGGTGGTAGTTGTGGTGGTGGTCGTCTCTTAATACAAAGTATTGAATGCATTTAAATATTCTTACTTTTAAGTCTGTTTCAGTAATTATTACGATCAATGGCACTGGATTTCTTGTTCTTTTTAAATGATCAGAATTTTGATGTTTTCTGATTGGTCTAGACTCGCTCCCCTGAGGTGTACCTCAGGCTGAGTTAACCTAAAAATAAAGTTCCGGAAGGTTTATTCGATTTTTTTCTTTTACATTTAACCAACTCTTTTGGATTGAATTTTTAAAGGTGTCGTTGTGAATGTAAACATGACAGAAGCCAGAAACGAAGAGATTATTGAGTTCCTTTATTGGTAATGGTTGAATTTTCATTACTTATTAATATTGTTTTTCATTTTTTAAAACAATAGTAAAACTGTGCAAATATATTTATTTGACAAAAGCACATCAAATTTAGAGTGTTAATATTTGTTGGAGACAAGAACTATAATGATAAAAACGTTGAAAAATTCATGATTATTTAATATAACGGTTATTGACTTATAAATCTGGTCTGCTCGTGACTATACAGACCTGGTCAGCTGCAGGTATTGGTAATAACCTCGGCCTTCGGACTCAGTTAACCAATACCTTACCAGTCCATATATGTTATTTTTTTGGGACTGCCTTTGCATTAATTGTCTTTGCAAACAGATATACCAAACCTTGTCCATTAAATTATATATAATTTAATTTTGTTTGTATTCTAGCCTCTGATTGGTTAATATCCAAAAAGGAATACAAATTATTTCTGTATAACCTGGTTTGGTATGGGGACCCACCCCCACCCCCGACAACCAGCTGAATCATCTGTGTCCATTCAATCCTCTCATTTCCAGTCCTCGGGATTCATGGAAAATTCCAGATTTAATAAATGTACCTTTAACTTCAAACAATAATTCGATCGTACCACATGTAAACAAACAACAAGGCTGCTAGGCCTATGTATCAGTTTTTACCTCCCCTCGCTTCCCATCACTTCCGTTACTACGGTTGTATTACTGAGTGGCAAATTTGAACTGATAAAAAGCAACGAAATTTTACACCCATAGTTATTTAATGATTTTAAAATTAAATTATAAGGAATGACTCTAATTCTTGGCCAAATTATTCGAGTATAACCTGGTTTGGGTCAGTTTACGCTGTTTTATAATCCGCTTCGCGGATTATAAAGCGTAAACTGACCCAAACCAGGTTATACTCGAATAATTTGGAAAGCGTAAACTGACCCAAACCAGGTTATACTCGAATAATTTGGCCAAGAATTAGAGTCATTCCTAATATATATATATATATATATATATATATATATATATATATATATATATATATATATATATATATATATATATATATATATATATATATCCTCTGATTGGTTAATATCCAAAAAGGAACACAAATTATTGCTGTTTAACCTGGTTTGGTATGCCCCCCCCCCCCCCCCCCGACAACCAGCTGAATCATCTGTATCCATACAATTCTCTCATTTCCAGTCCTCGGGATTCATGGAAAATTCCAGATTTAATAAATGTACCTTTAACTTCAAACAATAATTCGATCGTACCACATGTAAACTAACAATAAGGCTGCTAGGCCTATGTATCAGTGTTTACATCCCCTCGCTTCCCATCACTTCCGTTACTACGGTTGTATTATTGAGCGGCAAATTTGAACTAATAAAAAGCAACGAAATTATAAGGAATGACTCTAATTCTTGGCCAAATTATTCGAGTATAACCTGGTTTGGGACAGTTTACGCTGTTTTATTAATCTTAAATCTTATAAAAGCTTAAACTGACCCAAACCAGGTTATACTCGAATAATTTGGCCAAGAATTAGAGTCATTCCTAAAGTATTGGGTTTAATATTAAATTCCAAAATCATATTAAGAATATGTTTCCGACAAGCTTGTCTGCAAAATGTTTGGAGGTTAAGGAGCATTATCATTAATCTATGAAAATGTAGCCGAGTAACATTTTAAAATCCTGTACCTTCACAGAAAAGGCAAAATTTGGCACATTTTTTCGCTGCCCAGTCTTTGTAATTGAAGCAGATAGAAGGTCCATAGGACTCACAGGAATGTACAACGTCTTCACATATGTCATAGTGCACTGAAAATCGACAATATTTATGACTTTTAAAATAAATGTTATCTTTGGGCACAAAAAGACGGAACCCCCCCCCCCCCCCCCCAAGGTAGAAACAACATTCTAGCAGGAAATTAATGTTACTTCCTTGTCGTATTATGTGAAGTTTATTTGCAAAGATTCTGCAAGTTTGGGTTAAGTGTTTTGTAGAAATTTAACATGTCCTTACATCCCTTCCAGTGTAACTCAATAGGATATATTGAAAATAGCATAAGCACACACACATACAAATTTATTATGGCTTTAACGTACTTTTCGTATAAGTATCTCTTTCTAAAATATCTATTCTAATATTAATGTATTACAAGCTGTTTTAAAAGCACGAGGTTCAATAATCCCTGCAAATAAGCTTCAAACGAAAAATCATTTATTTAAAAACTTATGGAACTGATATTTTTTCCTAAATACAACACTTATATTGACCTTATCACATAATCTTATCACAAGCAAAAGCACGTTAAAAAGAATACGGTTTACCCTTTAAAGGTGCATAGACACAGATTTAAAGTTTATATTTCCTCAAATTTTCTGTATGATATCACAACTTATATGTTGCTATAACATTTCACACGAAAATAAAATTAAAAACTTATTTAATCTGGAAATTATTGAAACTACGAATTTTGGGAGGCGTTTGATTAACACATTCTTGCACTTTCACAATTTTTAACTTTATCCTTAATACTTAAGCGAAGTAGCAATTTTGTTGTGTATTAATGAATAATATTACATCTATAATCCAGAAATGTGCGAAAGCAAAACCCACTCACTTAAGTATTGTCAGCCCGTGCTCAGTGTTGTGTAGTTGTGTACAGAGTTTAACAAATTGAATACACCCGTGAAAGATAAACTGTTTTTGTAAACAGGGCAAGGGCTCTGTTGTTGTTAATGTTTACGTTTCACCGGGTGTGTTCAATTGTTAAACTCTGCACACACCACTGAGCACGGACTGACAATACTGGTGAGAGGATTTTGCTTTCTACATTTCTACTCTGAAATTTCTGCATTATAGTTTTAATAATTTTCATTAATAAACAACAAAATTACTACTTTTCTAAAGTAATAAGGATAAAGTTAAAATTTGTGAAAGTGCAAGGATGTGTCTACCAAACGCGTCCAGAAATTCGAAGTTTCAATAACTTCCAGATAAAATAAGATTTTTATCAAATTTTCGTATGAAATGCTATAGCAACATATAAGTCATGAAATTACACAGAAAAATTGAGTAAATATTAACTTCAAATCTGTGTCTAAGCACCTTTAAATCTCCTGATGATTAATGCATGAATAACCGAGCTTCGAATGTGTTTTTTTTTTAAAGAAATGACCAATACATAGAAACACCTCTATACTCGGTAACCTTGACCACTATCTAAATTTTAACATAGTTGTGACACACTTTTAAACAGCATTCGCTTTGGGCCAAATTTGAGCTTCTATAGCTTCTCTACTACAATCGTATCATTCATGTCACTGGAGATGAAACCTTCAAATAGTACATGTACCGTAAACTCTCGCCTATAAGTCGGTCCGCCTATATTTGAGGTTATTTTGGAGGGATTTGTCATTGACCCGCCTATAAGTCGGTACATTTTTTTGCCAGGATCGGTGGACAATTTCAAATCAATGCTCTAATGTTTTAACATGTGTTTCAAATAATATTTTGAGAAATTACGCCGATATTTTATCTCTCTTTTTTCTTCTTTTATAAATTTCATATCAGTACTCTAATGTGTTTACCTGTGTTCAAATAATATGTTAGGATATGACATCGGTAATTAATATTTTTATTTTTCAACAAACCAAACCACTACCATTTTAGTTTCTTTCTATACTGTTTTGTTTAAGCGTTAAATCCCTTGTCTTGTACATTGTATATTTCATACATCGATCTCGATCATTGGCGGATCTCTGTTTCTTTGGCATGGTGATAAACTATGTAACGAGTCTCCCAACATTTTGATGATATTTAATTAGGAGGTGCTCAATGTCCAAGCTATATCTATAGTTTTTAATAACGCTATGTTTGATCTTTTATTAGCAATTATCGTCTCTTAATCACCTGTATCCCTTACCTGACACCATGTTTATTTAGTGGCACGCGCCCCGAGAAAATTGTGTACCACACATGGGAAGCATTTTCATAAACAATCGACTTTTAATAGACTCCAGAATAATATTCTGAATTATTTTTTAAGAACATCATATCTGTTGTCAAAACATATAATTATACATTAATGCTAAACGTATTATATCAGGTTCGCAATTCTATTTTACCGATAAACGATAGATTTACAGTAAGTCACAAGTTAATTAAAGAAATATTTTTGTTAATAATTAATAAAATAAATAATATACACTTAAGATCAAAATAAAATCATCAAAACATGAAAATACTTTTACTTTATATATAATCTTAGAATACTTAAAAACGGGGGGGGGGGGGGTAATATAATACGTCCAGACATTTCTCAACGATAATCATACGATAATACTACATTTCGTCGTCCAGAAAAATACCAAGCTTTTGATGACTCGCCTATAAGTCGGACATAGAGTTTTGGACCAATAGTTAACTCCCAAAAAACCGACTTATAGGCGAGTATATACGGTATTTACAAACTAACTTGAAAATATCAGACATACAAAAATGATTAAAAAATTTCTTGAAAGTTCAATAAAGAGAAAGAATTGAATACTGTAAATCAACTTTTATTCGCCAGTGAGAAATATCCGCGAGTCTCGCGACCTTCTTTTACTCGCCAATGTTTCTCGCCGCGAATCAATTATTCTCCAATGAATTTATGCAGAATGTGCAGTATGTTCCCTCGGTCATGAAAATTAGAAGTCGCAGATGGATTCTAAACTGGAGAATCGTGAACAAAAGATGTCGCGAATAGTGGTCGGTTTACAGTAGTTTTTACTATTGAAAACTTAGTATTCTTACTGTAGATTCCTTATTTTACGCGAGTACTTAATATCGCGAAATGTCCCAAGGGCGTCAAGTCGCGAGAACAATAATTCGCGAATGGGTGATTTATCTAGAGATTTTACATACATTAAAGCACCAAGAAAATAAAAGCGAGTAATTTTATTTCGCGAGTGGTGCTTCTCGCGTAATTACTCGATAATTTATACCGTATATTTAGGAATCTACAGTAGTAGGTAAAGGACAATGTACGGTAACAACCAAATCTGTCCCCGCATTTGGTATAAAAATAAAAACAATTAAATTTGTGAACTTTAAAATTGAAAAGTAAAAATGATGCTCGTTTTATAACTTGCATTGTTTACAGTGTACATGGCCACAAAAGAGTGACAAAGTAATACAATTCACCGATTTTCCTCAGTTTTGATGAAATTGCATCAATTTGAGATACTTCTTATCTCGGAAAACACAGAGCACAAGCTTACCTACCTGAGATTTTCATACACAAGATGTTTCTGATTCTTATGCATGAACTAATATAAATTTGGTAGATAAGCAAGTTTGTGTTCTGAAACAAATATGCTTTAAAATTGATGAAAATTAGAATAAAATGATAAAATTCGAAAAATGGCGAATTTTTGCGACCTTACTGTGATCTCCGATTACTTAGAATCAATGTTCATTTGGTAACAGGTTTTAAATTATGTTATTTTACACCATTCTAAGAGACACTCCAAACCAGGGTCCATAAACGGCCCTTAATCTATCTGAAACTAAACTGACGGCTAAACAAACCCTATCAACAGCACACTGCTCACTTTAATAGAGCAATTTTAATGCCATTAATTTTAATATAATGTTATTATACGCAACGTAATGTAATTTTCCAATGATATCATTTGATTCACGTTATTTTTATCAGCGAAATTCTTTCAAACTTGTCAAATCTAGGGGGTTCGACATGAACTCATATTTTGAACTGATCGTTTAAGAAAATTAGCGAAATCAATTTTAATAGCTGTTTTCGATAAATTATTTTTTAAATATTGAAAATAATGTAAACAATAAGAAAAACATTCCTGAACATTCATCAATTTGTAAAATTAACAAATAATAAAATCTTATCATACCAATTATTTTTATGACGTTCAAATATGAACTTTCGTGAGACCTGATTAGATAATTCAAGCAATATCTATTGAATAGGCTTAACTTTATACGTTTGTTTATTGCAGAACATCTGCAAGGAATATAATTAACATTTCATTATAGATTTAAGGCAAAGATTCTATTAACTTTTTCCAGTAGATATAATATTATTAATTCTTTAATATGTAACTAATTTAAAAAAAAAAATTATTTTTGACATTGATACAAATTATATTTGTATCAATTGTGTTTGTATAAATTGATACAAAGTATGACCGCCATTATCTAAAAAGAACCTCTTTCCGTACACCTGAACGTTCGGCAAATACATGTAGCCATCTCAAATATTTTTTTCAGGAACCTTACCTCATTTTACGGAACCTGTGACAGCTAAAACAATGCTTGTTAGGTATGTATATTCGAAGTTTCGGTTAGCGATTATTAATAAGTTATTTATGATTATGATTTATATGTATGTGCAGGTAATCATTCCACGTAAATATAATTTCTAAAACGAAGCAGGCTATCCAAAAAAAAAAAAAATAAGTTGATGATACAATGATATCAACTATCTCGTTTAAAATCAACATTTCGCATTGTCTATGGTAGATATACAATGATCTTGTTCGCAAATACAGTCAATCGTTAGGTCGAATGTTCACTGACATCTTTACTGCAATTTCTTAGGCCATTATTTTAATTTTGGATTGTCCAAGGATTTTTTCCCGTTTAGCCGATCATGCAAAGGGGCACACACCAGGCATGATGGGTCGACAGGGGATATTTACTCCTGTATAGCACCTGATTCAACTTTTTTCAGAAGTCCTTGTTGACTCTGCTCACAACTTGTATTGTTTATGTAGGTTTTGAGCATGATCACTGCTCGTTATCTAAACATTTAATTTTTTTTCATTTTACTTTAGACGAAGGGACGATTTTCCGGATTTATATTAAAAAGCTATAATTTATAATACCATACAGTTATCTTATATGTAGATGTAAAATTTCCAGGCAAAATAATTGAGATATATACCAGAAAAAAGATCAAAGCCAGGAACATTATCTTAGCATAATCGCTATATTGTCTTTGAATAAGTACATGTAACAATTTTTCAATTTGTCATGTACTCATTGGTCAATTATTGAAAGACAGTATTTGACTCACATGTTGTAGAGGGAGCGCTAGTTGAGGTTGTTGTAGCTGATAATGGAGGGGGAGAGCTGAATGTATCTACAAAAGAAAACTACACTTATACATCCAATTATAATGTGACTAGTTGTGAAAGCATTAAATGCAGTATTATATACCTACCATGACATATTCCACAGGTCTTTCTACAATTGAAGGTTGACCAATCCAAATATCTGTTACAGGTGTTACTGTCACGGGCAAGGTAATCTTTGCAGGTAGGCATTTTATCCTCACATGGTCCTATGAAATGATTTATACAGTGTGTTGAATCTCTTTAGATTACATAATGCATGATGATAATGTATAGAATTTATCGTTAATAATGGTGACTTTTTGGCAATTTTCATGTTGCAAAGTTTGAATTTTCTGCTACCAGGCATAATTCAAAAGAAGAAGGTACGGTTATAGCTGTATTGTGCCCTACCATTTAATGTCTTCAAAGATAAATCAGGAAAGAATATAGCAGGAAGGAGTACCATTCTGGAAATATGATATCATAAATTTGATGCATTTCTCAATTTCAAACAGAAAAGGCCACCAAATGACCCATTTCAAGGGTTATTTTCCTTAGGAAAATAGTGTCCACAGTCGTCGCCCACTTTAATTTTTGGATATGTTGTGTAAAATTCTTTGAAAAATCACATATGTCAAAATCTTGGTGGGCGATGGCTGTGGACAATATTATCTGAAAGAAAATTCCATTGAAAATTGGTGTCTTCTGCAACTTTTTAAGAAAATACGGTAAAATATACAAGTTTATGACGTCACAATTAGCATTTATAAGGTCATGTGAGAAAAATGATTTGTATGATCTTTCTGCATGGAATTTCAGTGATTCAGAAAGCATGAGTTGTAACTTTTTACATCAATTTCATTTTTAAAGAAATACACAGGGCAAGATTTGTATTGAAACCGTACCTTGTTCTTTACAACATGACACAGTTTTGAAATCTCATTTTATTACTCAATCAGAATGTGATGGCTGTTCAGTATATTGTTTACCTGCAACAAGAGGCGGGGGAGTTGGGATAACTGTAATTAAAAATATTTGACGTTTTGAAAGATTATTTACAAATCAAACTTGCCTTCTTAGGACCTAAAAATATACCATTCATAATTATAGGTAAATATTAGCATTTTATCTATAATACTTCTTTATACTAGTTACTGGAACTGTTAACTTAATATGTATTTTGTTTACCAGATGTACGTTCTAATTCGAAGTTTACAAACCTGTTGTAGTCACTGGTGGTGGTGGAGTGGAAGGTGCTGAAAATATACGAGATCATTGATAAGTAGCAATATCATTAAAAGTGTTAGTTCATCTTTCTTTCTCAAACCTTAAATGCATTTCCTTCATATTTAAAGGGCCATGATCTACACAAAGCTTTAATCTACATATACATATCAAGTGAATTATGGTTTTAATATTACATTGATAATTTGCAGCTGTTTTTCCTTGTGTATTGTATTGCGTAAAAAAATGGAACATGTTTGTATTCACATCCTCAATGTATTGTTCTTGAATGTTTCGATGTTAAAATGTTCAAAGGCAATTGTTTGAACGAAATCGAATTTACAGTACATGTATATAAAGACTGTATAAAAGTTTACCTTACCTGTGCCGAAGGCTCAAGTGAGATTTTTTTTTTATCAAAGAGTGTCCAGCGTCCGTCTGTCGTCTGTAAACTTTTCACATTTTTCAATTTCTTCACAAGAATCACTGGGCCAATTTCAACTAAACCTGCCACAAAGCATCCTTTGGTAAAGGGGATTTTAGTTTATTCACGGGAAGGGCCACGCCATCTTTCAAGGGGATATAATTAATAATTCGCGAAAATTTGGTGGCATCATTTAAATATGTTCCACTAGGCAAAAAAAAAATGAAACTTATGTAAAAGCTTCATTACGTACTCTATATTCAAGTTTGTTCATATTATAACCCCGGGGTAAGGCGGGGTCACAAGACGGGTCGATGGTTTACATGGGAATATATAGGAAATGTCTTCCAAATCTTCTTCTCGAGAAAAGCTAAGCCATGATTAGTCATATTATTATAGAAGTATGCTCAGGTAGCGTAGATTCAAGTTTGTTCCAATCATGACCCCTGGGGGTAGGGCAGAACCATAACAAGGGGTCAAAGTTTTCCATCTTAGGAATATATAGGAAATATCTTTAAAAATCTTCTTCTCAAGAATAGTTTAGCCATTATTAGGCATATTAATATAGAAGTATCCTCAAGTAGTGTACATTCAAGTTTGTTCAAATCATGACCCCTGGGGGTAGGGCACAGACAAAACAGGGTGCCAAAGTTTTACATATATGTAGGAATAGATAGGAAATATATTTAAAAATTATCTTCTCAAGAACAGCTAAGCTGTTATTAGTTATAGTAATGTAGAAGTATCCTCAGGTAGTGTAGATTCAAGTTTTTTAAATTATGTCCCCCGGGGTAACGCGGGGCTATAACGGTGGTTCAAAGTTTTACATAGAAATATATAAGTGTTATGTTTAAGGGGCATTTGCGTAAACGAATCGAAAGTTTCAAATAGTGGAATGACTTTACAACCCTGGACTAGCCAAAGGGTATATAAGACAAAACCTTGGGAATGTCAAGCATTCAGAAGTTAGCTGAAAAAGTTGGCGGTTGAATCAGCAATAAAGGAGTTGAAGGTAAGAGTAAAGTAAAAGTAAAAAAGTTATAAGCATAAGTGGCAAGTATCCTAAGGAACCGATGTTAAGTTCTGGGTGTAGTTAATCTGAAAAAGATCGAGACACCCGGTTTTTAATCTATCAGTAAGAACATAGGGGAGAAACACGGTACAAGTAGTACCTTATCCAGTAGACCCCCATGGGTTTTGGGGCACAACAGAAAGTCAAAGTTTTACATAAGAATATATAGGAATCATCTTGAAATAATCTTCTGCTCAAGAACAGCAAAGCCATGACTAGTCATATTATTTTAGAAGCATCCTTAGGTACTGTAGATTCAAATTTGTTCAAATTAAGGGTGGGGCCATCAGAGCGATCAGAGTTTAACATAGGAAAACATATGGGGGGGGGGGGGGAGATCTTTAAAATTCTTCCGCTCAAAAACAGCAAAGCAATGATAAGTAATATTGATATGGAAGCATCCTGAAAGAGTGTAAATTTAAGTCCCCCCCCCCCCTTCGGAAACTTTCCAATACTGAACTGATTTTCTTAGTCAATGTGCCCAAGTGAGCTAGGGGTCCATGGGCCTCTTTTTAAAGGGGGTCTCTTTTTTCCTTTACATGTCCATATAAAAAATTTGATGTCTTTATGGTCCAATCAAGGCAAATAAAAATAGCTGATAGCATCTATAATTGTATTGCGGCAAGAAGACTTTTCCTCCAAGGCATCGTTTGGTTCTCTTATCTGATGCATAAACGACAAGTTTAAAGAGCAGTAACTGATTAATTATCCTTACTGTTAAAATTTAACAAAAAATTACAAACCTTTACAGAAGGCACAATAACGAGGGCAGTTTGTATCGGCCCATTGTCTGTAGGTTGAACAGACGGACAAACCATAGTCATGGCAATTCGAAATTTGATCCATACATATTCCTATAAAATATAATATAGAATATGTGATTTGTTAATGTCTCAAGGGCAACATAAACCTATATGTAAAAAGAAAATGACTAATGATTTATCACTACAAGATGATTTTAATTGGAAACAAGTTTATATTAATCTTAAAAATCTAACAAAAGATACAACATTGTTTTTGGTTTCAATACAGAATTTTACATGGAATACTTAGTTTGAACAAATATTTGTATTTTTCAAACTTGTTGATAATCAACAATGTGCACTGTGCTCACAGGAACCTGAGACACTTAGACATTTATTTTTTGAATGTGAAGTAGTTAAGATAATCTAGCTGGTTATCCTTAGAAGATTGGATTCGACAAAAATCTGGTAGAATAGTAGAGTTTAATATACAAAATGTAATACTCTGTACTATATAGATTGATGTGGGTTTAAATATGATTATTGTATTAGTAAAGAGATATATTTTTCAAACGTCAAAAAAGAGTACCATTTTATTAAATGAATTATTATTGTACCTCAATAATTAATTTATTATAGAGAAAAAATTATATGGTGAGGAATTATTTGAAAAAAGATGGTCAAATTGGAAATGTCTCTTTCAAGTATGATTTAGCATAGGAGTTTTTTATTACTAATGCTACATTATTGTAAACTTATGTAATACAGATACTTGTTTCATCCCTCTTCCATGTGTACTCGTCTGTATGTGAGTGTGTGTCTGTATGTGAGTGTGTGTCTGTATCTGTATTTAAATAAGTGTTTGCTTCTGAATATAAATGTAATTTGTTTCTGAAAAAAAATTCAGATAAGATATACTTAAATACTTGAAATGTTAAATAATTTGGACTAGATAATTGTTAATAATAAATTTAAAAAAAAACCATGGCTGTTGTTATATTACATACGTTGTATGTAACAACAATTTTAAATAAGGAAATTCTTTCGTTGTAGCGTTCAAAATTGATATTTAATACAAGATATTGTAAGTTTATTTAAAAGATAATTTTTATCACAATATACACGCGTAGGTACACCAGCATCATTTGATCTACAAATTTACAAGTACAATTTTGTTGATATCCCTATGATTATTGTTTTTAGTACAAGTTTTTACATGTTAATGGAAACGTACACATTACAAGCTATAATATATAGACCCATGTAATATAAAAAATAATGTATACATTTTACGTATTCAAAGGTCTTTGTCTTAGTCTAATTGACCGTTTCATTTTACTCTTTATTGATTTACTTTTACAATTTTCCCCATCTCAATAAACATACTCCTCAACTGGTGACTGGACAACAAAGGGGCAGTGTTAATGCGTATACCTTTATAATGAAAACATTGCATCTTTGTAATGCTTGATATATATACTAACACATTTCCCTAATCTACACCACTATAAGTCTTTTCTTCATTGTCAATATCTGCCATTTTTACTCATAACTTTTTTCTCATAAATTTTACTGATAGTCTTACTAGGCTTACTGGAGATGTGGCGTGCTACTGATACGTCCCACTCAGCGTTCTTACTTACTTTATTGGATATTAATTTCGGATATCAGAACAACTAATGCCCCTATCCAGATGCTCTTTTTATGCCCCCCGTATCGAAGATTCGGGGGTATATATTTTTTGCCCTGTCCGCCGGCTGTCTGTTTGTCTGCAAAAACTTTAACATTGCGCATAACTTTTGATTGGTTGAAGCTATGGCCTTCATATTTCACATGTGTATTCCTTGTGACAAGACCTTTCTTCGGGTACCATCATTTTGACCTTGACCTTGGAGTTTGACTCAGTTTGCAAAATGTTACCGAACTTTAACTTTGGCCATAACTTTTGAACGGTTGGTGCTAGGGCTTTCATACTTCACATATGTAATTGACAAGACCTTACTTTGGATACCAACAACTTTGACCTTGACCTTGGAGTTTGACCCAGTTTTGCAAAAACTTTAACATTTAACATGTTAGTTCCTTCCTTCGGATTTCTTAAAATGCTAAACCGGATTAATAAAAGAAAGGGTTCAAGGTCAATGACATGATGTACATTTCGCACAACTGTATTGTAAACATGGTTTTAATTCGTCTTTTTCGCGCTGCAGTTTATATTCATGTCGTAACAAAATAATTCTTTTCCAAATTTTGTTAATGAATGTTTTGTTCTTTTTTCCCCTCAAAACTGCAGAAAAACCATGAATTAACAATTACTGCCTCCTTTTAATTTTTAAAGAATAATAAAAAATATAATAAGTAAATAGGATTAAAAATCACATTCCTTACTCATCCAATGACAAAGAAATCGACGAAAAATGAACATTGAGTGATACCATTGATACCTTGGTCGTAATGAGCATACCTTGAGTAATCAGGGCAGGTGTATTAGCTGTAAAAGGATAAAAATTTGCATAATTATCCATCTCTAAAAAAACAAATTTTGACATTATATTCTGATAAACACTTCAAAAAGAATTCATGGAGCTTATTTGAAAAAAAAATCTTGATTTAATTCTGAAGCATACACTAAGTCGGCTGTTCTTAAAACGGTGCTTAGCAGCATTCTACCGATAAGAAATTTCAGATCAAACAGATAAAAGGGTCTGTACCTTGTGTTGTGGTCACAGGCGCCATTGGTGTTGGCGTTCCTTGAGCTGTCGATACAAGAAGAATATATAAGATGCTAAATTCTTTTATCGTCATAAAGATATTTAAAACGATATCTACTTTAAATAATGCACGATTTATACCTATAATAATGTACTAAGGATTCACATTTTTTTTTTTAATATGTATGACCGTCCCGGAAGCTCGTTCGGTAGAGCGCTCGTTCGTGATCGGAAGGTCGTAGGTTCGAGCCCCAGCCGCGACTGACCTCAGTCGATAAAAAATAGGTAGCAACTGTTCCTTTACAAAGCGCTCGGCACGTTGAAGTGAAAGTTGCGAGTCCTTCGGATGAGACCTTTTAAAACCGAGGCCCCGTGTTCCTCACTGCTCAATGGCCCTGAGTGCCGAGAAAAGGTCTAAAGTAGAAAGCCCTTAACTGGTATTTGGTGACGTGGATACAGGAGTGAAATTTTTTTTCGAACGGGACGTAAAACACCATACAATCAATCAAAATGTATGAGAAAGTAGGTCTTCCTATAATATATTCTAACATGTATATATTAGTTACAGGAAAATTTGCATTTCAGGTGTTATGAGAAGACCACCAACTTGTTTGTTTCGTATTGTTAAAGGATATCCGATCCTCAGCCAGCGAGGATAACTCTCAAATTTATTATTTTATTTAAAAAGTCTCAAAATGAAGCTTGAAATTGAGATCTTTTCGTGCAACAATTTTCATTTTATGCATCTAAATATGATTCAAGGTTTTTTGAAGTCTTGTAAAAAGTTGACATTTGTACCCTATAAAATGAATTCATTTCTTGAGAAATTGAATTTCCTTTCGTCTAGCATTAGATACATGTACGACTGCTTATTAGCATGATATGAAATTAGTTGTAATATGTGATGTCTAGCAATGATAGCACAAGTTTTTTTACACTATGTATTACATGACAACTGAAGTAAAAAGAGGATCTAAAATACTGTATAAGCATAAAAAGATACAGTTTTCTCCAAATGCCTGGATACCTATATTTTTCTATCCTAAATTATATTTGTTGATCAATGTTCAATTAGAAAATGCATAGCTGGTGTTTTTATTCGCTTTTCCTGTAAATATATTTTAGATTTGATAATTTTCCCTATATAATATGATTAACTGTAATGATGAACTTTGAAGAAATTTCATGGGTAAATTAACGTTACTATGTGAAATCAGAGACTTTTTTGTGAGCATTTTCAATTAATAAAAAGCTGATTTTCAGAACCAGAGGATCGGACTACCTTAACGTCCCTCTTGAGAATTTTTCACTCATACGAGGACGCCACTACGTGCCGGTGGAGGGCTCAAAATTTATACCTAAACATGGCACTCAGAGCCATTGAGCAGCGAGGGATCTTTTTCGTGCCAACACCTACTGCGACACAGGACCTCCGTTTATACGGTTTCATCCGAAGGACCGGTCTCCACGTCCTGCAGTGGATTCGAACCCGCGAGGTCAGGGTCAGCTTCTTACTTTGCGACTCTAGAGCAGACGCTCTATCCACTGCGCCACGCGGGCGACACCAGCAATTTGTAAATGAATCTAATGAAAGTTGAGTTAAGTTTGATGTCGTGTTTGAGCTATTGTCCAACTTGCGAAATTGATGAAGGAGAAAATGAAAATAAAATTTAATGATTTGAAATGTTCATACAATGGAACCTATGATGACTTTAAATTATGTTCAACATGCTGTGGTAAGAGAGCTTACTCAGATATTCTGCAGTGAAAGAGATCGAAAAAAATGATAAAGTAACAGCTCATAAATATTTGGTAATCTGTCAGGAGCTCATTGGTGCTTAAGGAGGCTGGGGGTCAACAAATTAACCATCAGATATAACTTTATTTTTTAGATATGATATCTTAAGGTGTCAACTATCATTTGGCACACAAAAATTTCATACATTTTAGTTTTAAAATTTGATCATTTTTGTATATCTTTATATGGAGCTCTTCTTCTAAAGGAGATCAATATAGTCTAAAAATGGCCACAACCACCCAGCCCTCTTAAAAAATTCTAATTGGTTCCAATAGTTGTGAATTCAAAGGACAAGATAGACAAAGACAGGCTTGAATGTACATCTTTCAGAACGATTAAATACTTCATAATTTAAAAAAAAACTGTTGTCCTTTTTATAACTAAAAATGAGAATAGATTTTATTGATAAAGCGTATATATTTCTAAATACCGATTCAGCATTTAGTAAATTATGCACTTTTAAACCTTTTCTTTAAAATACGTTTTGTGCATAAAATCTAAAATTGTATAAACGTTAATATTTATAAATAGTTCATGCATCGTTTGCATATCATTTAGTTGCCTCCTTCGCGGATCGAATAGGCGAAAAATCAGTACATGCTTAAAGGAATATAAGGAGTATAGTAAAAGGACTCACACATATGCATTTAAGCTGGAGTTCCCCATTGAGTAAGAAGAAGTGAGATATTTGTGATTGACCAATATATTCTTAAATGATTACTTCTTGATTTTTCAGATCGAAGTTGTTGGATTTGTTAATTTTATTTTCCATGGCATAAAGTTTAAGTGTATATCACAAAATTTCAATAATATATATGTATATATATATATGTATATATATATATATATATATATATATATATATATATATATATATATATATATATATATATATTACCAAAGAGCATTTATGTAAAATTTTTACAAATGTGTTGGATCAGCATAAGGAATTTTGAAGTGTGCAATTTCATACTGAAATGTAGTTTTTGTAGCACTATGAGTCTTAATGTTGTCAAGGATACCAATATACTAGTACTTTTAATCCAGTAAAATTCAATTATATTGTGTGAAATGATAATACTGAAGTAATATATCTAAAAGTGTTTTTATTTTATAAGCAAAACAGCAAGTCCGAAAATGCGTTAAACAAGTTTTCACTTAGATATTTTAGATACGGAAAGGAAATTTAAATTTTGCGACAGAATGATAGCCTAATTCTATGTAATTTTCATTCACAATCGTCATCTATTAAGGCATAATATCAAATCGAACGACATTTTCGCACCGCTATTTTTGAATACAGGGTGTAGGGGTTGATATGGATTGTGTGAAGACCTACATGTATTATATAAAGTCCATGCCGAGACAGAGACAATGCAGCCATAGCCCAATTTAAAATAATTAACTAGAGTTTAGATAAGCTAATTAAGGGAAGTTTTGTTCCCCCGCTTGCAGAAAAAAGAAAAGGGTGGAAGGACTGAACGGAATGCAGATGTAGAAAGAAAAAAAGGTTTGTCATGACCTTAGGTTTCATCGGAAGAGCTAACAAAGAACTAAAGGTATCATCTGAAACTATGTATGATATTTATATATATATATATATATATATATATATATATATATATATATATATATATATATATATATATATATATATATATATATAAAATAAAAATCCAAAAAATCACAAAATATTTTCTGCAAGCGCTTTCGCCATGTTAGGCTCTTCAGGCAGTTATACAAATGTCAGGTAGGTTACCTGGTAACGTCCAAAAGCAAAAGTTCATTGTGACGTCATAATAGATCAAGGTAGCGTAAAGTTGCCGTATTAGATAATGTACAATGTAACATTGTACCGATGACGGGAAAATAGCCTTTGTTGTGACACATAACCCACGAAACAGAAATATCCTTATGGACGCTAAAACATTCTACCCAATTTTAGAACAATCGGAAAATATGAAAAGTTTAATACAACCAAATGATATTATCAATAGTCGACGACAGGCACCCAATCTTAAAAAAATTGTTAACCAAAGCCCGTTTTACTACACAGGAGGAAATTCCAACCATTAAAAAATGCGGAGATCCAAGATGCGGAACGTGTACATATTTAGAAGAGGGAAATAGAATCCAACTTAAATCAGGAATGGAAATTAGAACCAATTCACCAATGAACTGTAAATCCGAAAACGTTATCTACTGTGCAATCTGTCCGACATGCAAAGAATTCTATATTGGACAGACGGGGAAACTAAATGCCCGGGTTCGTGTACACAAGCAACAAATTAAAGACCCTAGTGTGCGTAATACACCATGTTGTGAACATTTTACAAAATGCGGCAAAGGAATATTTAAGATTTTCCCTTTTTATAAACTTCCCAATGAAAATGAAAATCTACGTTTGGCAAAAGAGGACTACTTTATCAAACTCTTTAAACCAAAGCTTAATCGAAAATGATACATTATTATATAACATATTGTAAGATTTTATGCATATTATGTGTTCAAGTTAATGCAATATTTGTACATTATCTAATACGGCAACTTTACGCTACCTTGATCTATTATGACGTCACATTGAACTTTTGCTTTTGGACGTTACCAGGTAACCTACCTGACATTTGTATAACTGCCTGAAGAGCCTAACATGGCGAAAGTGCTTGCAGAAAATATTTTGTGATTTTTTGGATTTTTATTTTTAATACACCCAGCAAAACTGTACCGGTTCTTCATTTTGTTTTTGAAATTATATATTGATCGGTACATGAATCCAGGATGTCACAAACCAGAGCTAAGACGGTAGCGGAATCTAACGGAATTGAACGGATTTTAGAAGAAATTTCAGAGAAAATTTCTACTCTTTGTAGTAAGTATGAGAATCTTACTACTGCAATTAGAGATATGGAGGAACTGAATCGCATTTTTCGAGAAGAAGTCCAAATTCTATTATCTATTAGGAGTGATGACAACGATGGAAATATTATGGCACATAGAGATAATTATGCGACTAATGCACAAGATATAATTCAACAATGGAATGAAATAAATCTTGAAAAGGAAGCTTACAAGAAGAGGAAACAGCTGAAAAGGGTATGGTTTAAACTTCTTAACCAACGGAAACAAGCGTATTGGAATGCTATCAAGAATGAAAATCTTGCAGACACCTACGAAAGCTGGAAAAATGAAGAAGAAATTGTTTTCCCCAGGAAATTTAGGATCAAAAACATCGACTCGGAATCCAGTG